TTAAAAATAGGGCCGGCCCGGTGGCGCACTGCAGAGTGCGCCGCTTGCGAGCATGGCGGCGCTCCTGCCGAGGGTTCGGATCCCATGTGGAGACCGGTTCCCGCTCACTGGCTGAGCGCGGTGCGGGCGCAACACCGAGGGCTGCGATCCCGTTGCCGGTCCCCGGTACGGGCGCGACACCGAGGGTTGCGATCCCGTTACCGGTCAGTTAAAAAAGACAAAAAAAGGGGGGACGGGCGCGACACCGAGGGTTGCGATCCCGTTACCGGTCAGTAAAAAAAGACAAAAAAAGGGGAAAAAAAAAGTTTAAAAATATAATTGGAAGGGACTGTTTATATTTGAAGTATGTAACACTCTAACGTGATAGATCAGATATATTAAATTGCTTCCTTTAACATACTATTCGTTGAATTTTCCAGTAAAGCCATAAGTTATTAATTACTCTTGGAATCAGAAAAGAGGTTAAAAAGTTCTTTTTTTAAAAAAGAGTGTCCTATCAAATTTACTTCTTTCAAATAATAATAGTTGCAGCACCAAGACCGATCATTCTAGCCAAAGACTACAATTAAGATATCAGTAACATTTCCTAGACAAGTAGGTAGTTAATTAATCTTATTGGCTTCTGGGAAATGGAGAAAGTATAAACCATGATTTTAAAATCAAACTAGAGATAATATTTGGCAGGGTGGGATGACTTATAGTACATAGCTATCTGTGGTAGTTTTTTTGTGTGTATTGCTAATTACCTTAATATTTTAATTTCCTATATTTCTTCCTATATTTCTGCTACACTTGTCCTACTTTCCTAATCATCTTACCATATGGGCTGTATGTATAAGTTTGAGTATACAGGAAAAGCCAGACACAGAACCAATCAGATTCCTTTCTTCTTTAAACTTTCTTGGCAAAAACCTTAATCTTAGTCTTTTTATAACATATGAAGCCCTGGGTAGCTGAATAATTAAGAGCTTAGAGACTGACAGAAACTTCCCTTCCTCATACTTTCTTAGAAGGATTGTCTATAGTAAGCACAAACTAAAAAAAGAATAAAATAAACAGGAGTTTTGTTGTTGTTGTTTTAATTGAATATTCATAGAGTACAAAGCTGACTGTCACCATCAGTGCCCATACTGGCAGCATGTCCATTACCACAAATTGTGAGTATACCTCATGTCCCCCACCCAATTGTCTCCAACCTCCCTCCCCTTCCTCCAATCCACTTTGTATACTTAGGTATGCTCTCTCCCTCTGCAAGTCCAACGCACCACCGTGGTCTTTCTTTCTTTCCTTCTTTCTCTCTTAGCTCCCACTTATGAGTGAGTACATGTGGTATTTATCCCTCTGTGCTTTGCTTATTTTGCTCAATATAAGTTTCTCCAAGCTCATCCATGTTGTCGCAAATGGGAGAATTTCATTCTTTTTCATGGCAGAGCATTATTCCATGGTGTATTTTTACCCTATTTCCCTTATCCAATCTCCCATCAATGGACATTTTGGTTGGTTCCATATCTTGGCTATTGTAAACAGAGCTGCAGTAAACATGGGAGTGCAGGTATCCCTTTGACATGACGATTTCCATTCCTTTGGGTATACCCAGAAGTGGGATTGTTGGATCATATGGAAGATCTATCTGTAGCTGTTTGAGAAAACTCCATACTGTTTTCCATAGTGGTTGTACTAATTTACAGTTCTACCAACAGTGTAGGAGCATTCCCTTCTCTCCACATCCTCGTCAGCATTTGTTATTCTGTCTTTTTCATTACAGCCAGTCTAACTGGGGTGAGATGATATCTCAATACAGTTTTAATTTGCATTTCCCTGGTGACTAGTGATGTTGAGCATTTTTTCATGTACCTCTTGGCCATTTGTATGTCTTCCATTTGAAAAACGTCTACTCAGCTCCTTTGCCCATTTTTTAATTGGGTTATTTGTTTTCTTACTGTGTAATTGCTTGAGTTCCTTGCATATTATGGATATTAATCCCTTGTCAGATGCACAGTTAGCAAAAATTTTCTCCCACTCTGTAGGCTGTCGTTTCACTCTGTTGATTTTCTTTTGCTGTGTAGAGCTTTTTAGCTTGCTATAGTCCCAGTTGTTTATTTTTTCTTTTGTTGCTTGTGCTTTTGTGCTCATGTTCGTAAAGTCTGTGGCCAGTTTTAAATGCTTTCATTTCCACAAACCAGTTATTTAAATAAAGTTTTGCATTCCCAAAAGCTTTGAGTGAAACAGATAAAAACAGAAATATTTGAGTTTAAGATAGGGAGGATGATCTGGAGCCCTGTCTGCTTTATTTCCTTACTACCTTCACCCCCAAAACGTATTTGGTGGAATCTACTGGGAAATGATTTTAAGGAGAGAGTCATGAGAAACTCAGAATGCATGAAAAAATAAAATAAAATTATTCAAGCCACCATTACAATTATCTTAAAATTATATTTGAATTTTGATCGAATCACCTAACACATACTGAACACTCAACAGACAATCAGTCAATAAGCAAAAAAAAGGGCACAACATTGTGATCCTCATCAGATTTAAGAGGCACTTCAAGAGGGTTCAACACAGGGCAGCTGGAAACACACTATACTAATTTAATACAATAACTCAACTAGAGCACCGAAAACAGATTACAGCGGATTCTTTTCTTTTCTTTTCTTTTTTTTTTTAGTGACTGGTAAGGGCATCGTAACCCTTGGCTTGGTGTCATCTGCACTGCACTCAGCCAGTGAGTGCACCGACCAGTCCTATATAGGATCTGAACCCGCGGCCTTGGCGCTCCCAGCACCAGTGCGCTCCCAGCGCCGCACTCTCCCGAGTGAGCCACAGGGCTGGCCCCAGCTGATTCTCATTATTTGTGGTAGTTATGGTCTATAAAGTTCCATGAACACTGAATTAGCATATACAGAGTTAGGTTCCTGCAAGCCTCTGGTCATATTTTCATCAACAAGTCAACACATAACTTTGTTTTATGTGTGTGTTTGTGTTTAAGGACACCTTATTTAATATATACTGTTGATTCATTAACATTGAACTCACAGCCACCAACACTATAGCTCATGCTTGAATGAAGTGGACTTCTTGTTCTTAGAAACACTAGGCAGCACTACAGTAGTTCAGCACTATGCTTGGGGGCCATTTTAAACAGCAAAATCACCAACAAAAAGCATTTAAATTTTTAAAAAAATTTTTTAAAAAAGACATGATACTAAACAGACCACAAAAAGGACACTTGATTACAGTTTTTAAAAAAGACATGATACTAAACAGACCACAAAAAGGACACCTGATTACAATATGAGAAATGAAACAAGAAGGCAGGGTGTTACCTCGTTCAAACTCAAATTTCTTGCCACTCTGTGCAAACACGTGCCCACAAATGACCATGAAAGTGTCATAAGTACTGATTTGGGGGTTATAAAAAGAATTTTAGCAAGTAGTCTGTGTTCATAAACACAGAATCTACAAATAATGAGGATTGTATTTTCTTACACAACCAAATCTCATACAAGATTCTGGTTTAGGCTTAAGAATTAGTGTGTTAGAAGAAGGTACTAGAACAGGAAGGAGGAAAAAGGGTAAAAATCAGAATTAAAAGGAAGGCTCAAAATTCTGCATCAACCATGTCTACTCGCACTTTAATATACCTGTGTTAGACTGCATTATTGTTCCCAATTCATCTTTATATTCACAATCTCTGCCACATAACACTGCAGTTCCTCCCACGAGGGACAAGGCATATTTCTCCACTCTATTGAAGTTAGCCATGGCCATGTGATGTGTTTTGGCTGTTGGCTGTTAGTGGACATGATATAAGCAAAGCTTGAAATGTACTTCCAGATTTGAGGTTTCCTTGTGTTTCTATGAAAAAAACACGCCCTCAGGTAGTCCACTGCTCTAAGGAGGAACAGCAGACAAATGAAACGGATCTAGATTCTATCTGCAGAGAGAAATGGAACAGATCTAGACTCTATCTGCAGCTTGAAGCCAAGCCTAGCCAAGAACAGCCAACCCACAGATATACTAACAAGAATAAACAACTGTTTTTCCAAGCCTAGCCAAGTACAGCCAACCCACAGATATACTAACAAGAATAAACAACTGTTTTTCCAAGCCTAGCCAAGTACAGCCAACCCACAGATATACTAACAAGAATAAACAACTGTTTTTCCAAGCCTAGCCAAGTACAGCCAACCCACAGATATACTAACAAGAATAAACAACTGTTTTTCCAAGCCCTAAGTTTCACAGTATTATTGTGGCTATAGTTAGCTGATATTTAATATATTTACACATTAATTTAAAAATACTATTATCCTATTACAATTTTTTACATAAAAAGGTTGATGAGACCCTCTTTGCTTCTTTCACTAAAAGTCTAACACATAGTAGCTGGGTAGTGTGTTTCCAAAGACAGCTGCAGCAATATTTCCCATCCCACATGATCTTTTACAGTTTGACCTTGCCAGTCACTCTTCAGATGGTGGGGTCTACCTTCTCTCCCCCAAATTTGGGCTGGTTCTATGATACTGTGTGAGACCTGAAGCCAGATATTAAGACATCTACAGCTTCCATGTTTGTCCCTCATGGAACTCAGCCATCAAGCAAGAAGTCAAACCCCTCTAAGACCACCACACTGAGAGAAGACCCAAATTAGACACATGGAAAGAGAAAAAGAGACATCAAGAGGGGAAGGGGTGGAGAGCTGGGGTGAAGAAGTCACAAAGAGAGAGAGACAGAGAGATGCCATGGAGTAGAGCACTGACTGTAAACCATCTGAATGAGGCCATTTTGGACCTCATCACCATCCTAGTGCCTCGGCTGACACTATATGAAACAGAAAAAACTCTTAGTCAATCCATACAACTGTGAGAACTAATAAATTGCTACTGTTTTAAGACACTAACTTTTGGGGTAAATTATTATATGACAACTCAAACAAGTTGTTAATAAATATGTGCTAAATGAATTAAATTCATTAAAATATTCTGCTTAATGCTTACCTTGGTGTTGGCCATGTCCACAATATATTGGTCTCCCTTTATACATTCCATTACTTCAAAACCATCTCTGTCAATCACCTTGGCCTGAGAGCTTCCAGATACAACAAGAATCATGTCTCCTGTGTTACTGTACTGTAATGACTTGATCTGATGGCTATGCAAAAGAAAAAGAAAATAGTCCGGTGAGACACCAACCATAATGTTTATCTTCTCACTACATCAAGCACTGCCAGAAAAAATGTTACACAACTACACAAACTGATAATTCTACAAAATTGGAACGTCACCCCAAATGGACCCCTCAACACCTACTGGCTATCCTTTTAGCTCTCCCTTCCCGCTCTCCACACAATCTATTAAAACCTTATCTACTTATCTTATACCTTTCAACCCAACCAACTCTCCCTCTTTCAGCTGTTGAATCTTCTGGTTCTTTCCCAGAAGAAACAAATGAGCACTGTCTCAACTTTCTCCCATTAATGTTATAAAGTTATCTGTACCTGAACTCCTCTCTTCCTCCTACTTTTCAATTACAATGGTGGAAATGAATCTCTTACTGCACAAAGCAAACTATACTTCCTGTAACTTGGATACTATCCTTCCTAGTCTCCTCAGAAATTACTACTGACTATCCTCTCTCTCCTGCCCTTCACACTTAAGCTGTTTTAACAAGATTTCAATCCTCATCATCTCCTTTATTTCTCTAGCACTAAAGTATCCTTTCCACCCTCACCAATCCACTAAAACTGATATTGCTATTGTGCCTACAGTAGTGTGCCAGCCAGATCTCCCCCTTAAGAACTGAAGTACTCATTCTCCAAGCTTCCAGAAATTTGCCGGCTGATGACTAATAGCTGAACCCTCAGGAATTTCCCTAAGTTGCAGAAAACTTCTTCACCCAAGGTTATGCTACAATCCCAAAGCAGCTCACATTCAATGACTGGTCAATGTGCAGTAAAAAGGTCTAGCCCTGTGCTTCACTCTTGAATATTGCAAAAGGATTATTCCAGCCTCAGATCTCCCTGTGGGATCAGTTGACGTTGCTGCTGCAACCACACAGACGGAGAAATTCAATTTCTCCATCTGCTAATGCTGTTTCTCATGCACCCTCTCTCACAGGAGCTGACCACAGAAGCACTCCCCAATAAACTTCTAAATATAAATCTTGACATCTCGAAGTGTGTTTTTGAAAAACCTGACCTGAGAAAGTTGGTACCAGAAGTGGTCCTATGAAGCCAACTCCAAAATGAGATTTTCAAGTTGTATCAACCACTAACTAGCTAGCAATAAGGACTCCAACACTGATGGTATATAGTCCCTAACATGCTGTTAGCAGTGCAATCACAATTGCCAAATCTTTTGTTTGTGAAAGAGAAAGCACGGCAGGTGCAATATTTCAGGCATTTGAGAAGTACAGAGTAGTAGTTAAAAGGAGAAGGAATAAGATAGCTGTTGCTAGGAACAGTCGATGCAATGGAGAAAAACCATGAAAGGCTAAGGTGATAAATCCCCACTTAAAGACTATAGTGTGGAAAGTCAGAGGGTCTCTTTAGCAGCATATAAAGACAGAGTTATTGGTCTTTGTCAGGTAAGTGGTATGCAGTCATTCACCTGGTAATGCATGTCTTTCTATCACTATTAAGAAGGAGCACCAAAAGCAGTAACAGTCACAGGCAAGCAACAGCAGCACACATTCATATCCCTGAACCAGGGTTATATTCACTTTCCTACCCTTAGTCTTTTTATTTTATTTTTTTAAAGATGACTGGTAAGAGGATCTTAACCCTTGACCTGGTGTTGTCAGCACCACGCTCTCCCAAGTGAGCTAACCAGCCATCCCTATATAGGGATCCAAACCCGTGGCCTTGGTGTTATCAGCACCACACTCTCCCAAGTGAGCCACGGGCTGGCCCTTACTAACCTTAGTCTTAATACAATCCTAAGGGATATGAACCATCTGAACAATCCAAAAAAATTCAGGTAGATCCATGATCTTGATGACATCATGTTAACTGAATCAAGTGAACAAGAAGTAGCAAACACACTGGTAAGACACAAACTTTCCAGAAGATGAGCAATAAACCCTATAACACATTAGGAGATTCAGACAAGAAGATATGGGGAAGAGAAATGTGGATAGACATATAAAAGTGGGCACAAATTATGAAGCTATATATATCACACATTAATCCCAGAGATCAACTTCAAAAGAGGGAATGAACAACTATGCAGACAAAGTGACTTGACCAACAGAGTTGACATCAGCTAGCCTCCATCATCATCCCTTCTGGTCTTAACACAATAGGCTTGTAAATGAAATAGCTGTGGTGGCAGGAATGGAAGTTATTCGTGGGCCCAACAGCGAATCCCTAAAGTTGACCTAACTGTTGTTGCTGCTGAAGATCCAACAAAGGCCTATGTTCATTATTCATTAATAATTTTTTAAAACTTCCTGGCAAATTAGGATGAAAGGGTATGTTCATAAACTGATAAATAGTATTATTAAGAAAAAAACTACTGCAAACATCAGGAACAAGACAAGTTAGCCCATTTTCACCATTTCTATTCAACATGTAATAGAGGTCCTTGCCAGTACAGTATGACAAGAAAAAGACCACTTGACTTATGACAAAGGTGGTAAGAAAAGTCTTCTCAATGAATGATCCTGGCTCAATTGGATATCAATATAGTAAAAACAAATCTTGATCCCTGTTTTACACGATAAATAAAAAGCAATTCCAGGTACAGTGTAGGTCTTATTATTTTTAAAGGTAATATATCTAAACTTCTAGAAGATTACACTGATGACATTGGGTTAAAAAACTCTAATCATAAAAGAAAACATTGCAAATTTTAACTTCATCAAAATTGGGAACTTCTGGTCATCAAAAGATATTACAAGACAATGAAAAAATGACCCACAGTTTGCAACTGAAGATATGCCTGATATTTAACCAATAAAAATCCTCAGATCCAAAATATATAAAAACTCATAAAATAATAAGAAAAACATGAACAATAGAAAAACGTTCAAAAGATCTGAGCACTTCACAAATGATATCCAAATACAGGCATACCTTGTTCTATTGTACTTTGCTTTTGTGCTTCACAATAATACTTCTTTTTATTTAAAACAAATTGAAGGTTTGTGGCAATCCTGCATTGAGCAAATCTTTCAGCACCATTTTTCCAACATTGCTTAGAAATAAAGTATTTTTTAATTAAGGTATGTATATTGTTTTTTTAGACATAATGCTATTGAAAACTTAATAGTCTGTAGTACAGTGTAAACATAACTTTCCTATGCACTGAGAAACCAAAAAATTCTTGTGACTCACTTTACTGCAACAATTGCTTTATTGCAGTGGTCTGAAACCAAACCCACAGTATCTCAGAGGTATGCATGTACCCAATGATGTTATGAAAAGTTGTCCAATCTCGTCATTCATCAGGAAAATTCAAAATAAAATTATAATGAGATACTACTATAGTCCCACCAAAGTGACTAAAATTTAAAAGGCTGACAATACAAAATGTTGACAAGAATGCAGGGTAACTTTTGCTGATTATGGATAGAAAGGTAAATTGGTACAATCGTTTTCAAAATCTCTTAGGAAATACTAAAGCAGAATATATGCATAACCTACGGCCTAGGAATTCCATTCCCAAGTATATACCCAACAGAAATATAAATATGTGCTCCAAAAGACATCTACAAGAATATTCAGAGCAAAAATATTCAAAATGACCCCAAATAGCAAACAACTCAATTGTCCACAGGCAAAAAATAGATAAGAAGATGTATATTCATACTGTAGAACACTGCATAGCAATTAAAATGAACAAGTTTCTGCCATACACAGCATGGATAAATCTTACAAATATAATCAAGTGAAAGAACCCAGACAAAAAAGCATATATGCTATATTTTCTCATTTAAGTAACACTCAAATACAAGCTAAAGTAATCTATGGTATAAGGAGTCCGATGAGGAGAGTGAGGGTAATATCTGAGAAATGAGCCTCTGGTGCTAGTAATACTCTATTTCTTTGATCTACATGACAATTACAGGGATATGTTCATTTTATGATAAGTCATCAAGCTATAACCTTAGAATGTATTTTTCTAAATATTACATTTTATTTTAAATATTATAAAAATGAGAGACATCTGATACAAGTTTACATTAAGGTCCTTAATTCACCAATAAGGACATCAAACAAGGACATTACCATATTTTACATTATAATTTAAATCTTAAAGTCTACGAAATTCTCAGAATAAACTAAGAAAGCAAATAACATGTAATACTTTTTGTAGTTTAAATTGTTTTATTTTTATGCTTAAATGAGCATGTTTCAGTTTTCAAGAATTAGGTGAAAATTTTTATATACCCATTGCTAAATATAGTGCACATAAATTAATCTAAGAATTTTTATACTATAAAAGGTGAACTTTTATTCATTAATGAATAATTTAACCAAAAATGTACAAACAGAAGAATGTTTATTACAAATATAGGAAACATAAACATTACTAAATATAGGGAAGTACCAACATATCCAGAATTAAAAGTTTATTAGGGTGATGGGTACCAACATATCCAGAATTAAAAGTTTATTAGGGTGATGGTTCTTTCAAGCAACAAATAGCAAAGAAAAACTTGGTTTACCATAGGAGCTATTAATTTACTCAGGGATTTGATAAAAGGTCAGCTGAGGTCATACAGAATACTAGTTCTTTCAAGCAACAAATAGCAAAGAAAAACTTGGTTTACCATAGGAGCTATTAATTTACTTAGGGATTTGATAAAAGGTCAGCTGAGGTCATACAGATTACTATGGAACAGGTGTTCAGCCAGACCTCACAAAGAACTCTTCACTTAGTAGCTTTACTAATGTGACAGATATACTCTACTGACCCAAGGAGGAACTCCACCAACTACCCTTTAGCATGTGTTTCTCCCAATTCTGCTTTGCCATTATATGATTCAAGTATTCTGTCTCTTTTTCTATTACTTCTTTTATGACCAATTAATTTTCCTCTATACCTCCCACTCTACTTATTTAAGCTTTCTGCTGTTTTGTGGTTTCAATTCCACCAGAATTACTCATGCTTTCTGTTTTCTCTGTTTGTACATATTTGCTCTGCTCC